ATATAGCAATGCGTTCTGTGTAATTGATTTCATTTTGTTTATTTGAAAAAAATTAGGAGTAAAAATTTTTCAAACAATATAGTTAAAAACCAATTTCATAATATAGAGTCAGACCTCCACTTACCTAATTTCTCTATTTTGCGAACTTTTTCCTGGAAACATTACTCTTTTCTTCATAAAATAAACCTCCAAATAGTGAAGTGCTTTTTCTATTTAGCGAACTTTTTCTCTTGTTGTTCGATTTTTTTTCTCTATTTCCAAAATATTTCTGTATTTTAAGTTCTTTTTTGACTCATTTTGTCATGATTAATGACCTTTAACTGGTTTTGCTAGGTGCCTAGCGCACAGAGATTTGAGGCCACCCTATTATAAGAGAAAAAAATTAATTTTTTCCCCCAAAAAACTTGACAGGCTTTATTAGTAATTAACGAAGCTTTATCCCGAACATACAAAACATTGCGCGAACTTTGATACTTTATTAGTAATTATTTTAAAGATGCATGTGGTAATATATGCTTATTACTAGTTATAAATTTTTTTAAAAAAAATAGTGTATTCCTAGATTAAAAAAATTTTTTTTGATGGGTAAAATATATCATATAGATTTTAATTTACAAAAAAGGTGTGATTTTTTAAAATTGTTTTTTTAATGTAATGTAGTGTTTATGAATTTAAGATTTCTTTTATGTAGTTTATAAAGCATATTGTAAGGTGAATCTCTATTTAATGAATTTTTCACATAAAGAACTTTTTCAGGATTTAGGGACTCCATTAAATATAGGTAGACTGTATAACATATATATCATCTGTTACAAATACAAAAACTTGTTTTTTATATAGTACTGATCTTGAAGATCTTATACTCAGTGTATTGATGAACTTATAGTATAGCATAGTGTTATGACATAATACACTAAGTAACCATTTTATTATGACCGTTCCATTAATACCTTGTTTGGTCACCTTTCATTTTTAAGGGGGTCCAGCACTTCCATAGGAGCCCCATGTTAAATTACGTAAGTTTATGTACCTTTTTCTCAGAAACTACTTGCTTCTCATAGATGAAATTTTTACAGTAGGTTTTATGTACTATCAATAAGACTTTAATGGATGGGTTTGTCTTTTTACTAAAAATTAAAATAATTATGAATTTTTAAAAAAATGTCCTATTCTCTCCCCCCCCCCCTAAAATTTAGCTTAAAAAGACGTTATCTAAAAAAGTTTGCTAGATATATCTTATCCCCTCCATTAAAATGTGTAAACATGTTGAAAATATACTTACTGAAAATTTGAGTAGCCTACATTAATCAGTTTCTGAGAAAAAGGTACATAAAGGGAAAAATATTGCATTTTGAGAAAACAGGCTTTAAAGTAAAAATTTGTAATTTTTGACGATTTACCTTTTTTAATACTTTTAAGAAGCTTGTGAAACATTTTCTTTGCCCTCTGCTTCTACAAAAGACTCTTCTAATTCTTTTTTTCATTATTTTTAGCAATCTAGCCTTTTTTGTATCTCAAAGTGCTTTCGTTGGGCTATACGAATCCTACGTGCATCTAATTTTTTAGAGCATGACACACAATTAAAACCTGATTCAATAACACAATATTTTAAAATGATTAATTTGGCTACATGGCCCATATTGAATTGTGCAATTGCTATATTTACCCCTAATTTTAGAGTTTTTTTAACTTCCCAAATGTAGATTTTGGAATGACTGACCATATGGTATTATTAACTGGTTTTGAGTCTTTCCATGTTGGCATTTTTTAATAATTTAGGGTCAGCTAAATCTCTAAAAATTGGCTTAATTTCATTCATGAGGGAAAATGGCACATGGGTATGTTTTTATGATCATAATGCTTTTCGTTAAATTCAGCTTTTGCTTTCTGAATTTGTACCCAAGGAACACAATCCATGTTGAGGGTTCTCATTTGTAGATAAAAGATGGAAATAAACAGCCCAAACAGCAGTTTTCATGTTGTATAAATCATTGATAATTTTTTCTAATGGCCATACCATAATACCTTTGAATTTTGGAAATTAAAATGTCATTGAGTCGGTTGCGTTCACTTAGGCTTCTTCCATCACTTAATTGTTTTCCTCTGTTTTTCTTTTGAGATTCAAAAGACGGGTACCCATACACTTTTGGATATTCCCAACACACTCTTAATTTTCTCCACTTGAGTGTCATAAGGATTCAGGGCAAGTATTGATGAAAAACCTCTTGAATTTCTATCACCCAAATATTTTGTGTAACAAATGCCATAATGAGCTTCGGATCTTTCAAATATCGCCGTTACGCCTTTCACTTCCATACCTCCACTTGTCCCACTATAGTTGGCAATATATGATGGTTCATGAACAGAATTAAATGCAGTTTTGCACCGACAATGTTTCGAAAACACTTCAAAGTCAATAACTTTTCCAGTATCAACACTCGTAGCTGTAACAATACCAGTGAGGGATTGGTATCCTCTTTTCTGCCATGAACCATAAGGCAACAGCAATGCCACGGCTACCTTCTATTCGTGTTGCTTCCTCAATTGAATTTCTCATTGATTTTTCACAGGTAAATTTAGAAGAGTCGAACAACAATTCTGTTATAAGTACCGAATTTTTCACGTGGAGATGGCAAGTTCATAAGTTCACAGAATATTTCTGCAGCTGAACGACCTCTTCCAATAGATCTGAAAGCAAATATCAATCTGATATTTGAGTGGAAAAGTTTATTTTTATTCTTCAATTTAGTTGGCGTATGGAAACCACGCTTTTTTGCTCAAAAACTGCAAAAAAGTTCCATGCAATACACAATTCTATCTCTTTTAGAAGCCTCCAATGAGATAGAATGGCCACAGTTTTTACAAACAGCAAAATTCACAATAAAGCATTCTTCAATAAATTTAATTCTATTGAAACATTTTTTTCATTACTTCCTTCCATATCTTCATATAAATTGTTTGAAATAAGTTTTCGTTTTGAAGCACTTTGAATAAGAGTCTCTGGGATAGCTGGAACATTTTAAGCATTCATTTTTAGAATGTCGACATTTTTGTGTTTAAGTATTTTTTTAGATCTCCCTGTAGTTTTTGTCGTTAATAAAATACTAATAAATAATTTATTGTAAAACATGGATTTAACAGAAAAAAAAATCTGGATAAATAAATTAGAATTCAATATTAACAAGTTCATGCAAGAATAATCCCATTTAACAACAAACCAAACAAAAAAATATAACTGTGTTGAGTTGTCTTTTCCTTTCTTCAAAGAAAAATCGTTTTATTTATGTGTAAAAAAAGTTATATTAGTTGTATAAAAACAAATCGCGCTGTCATCCAAAAATTAAGCATGATGAAAGAAAGGTGCTCTTAGAGGAGCACCTGTCACGTGCCAAGGAAAGTGGCTTCCTTTTAAAAAAATAAATAAAAATATTTCTAATTATTGTATTTCCATATATCATATATCATTTTAAGCAGAAATGTTTGAACTTTTCAAAAATATAAAAAATCAAAATCGATAATTTTTCAAAAATTTATGTGCTGGACCTCCTTAACGCAGCCTTGAATCTTTGCATGGTTTCCATGAGATGATTGATCTCAAATTTCACAAATTGCCTTGCTTAAAGAGAAGCTTTTTCCAAGACCTTGAGGTTGGATGTTTATGGCTCTAGATGTCGGATGTCATTTTAAACTTTTTCCCACAAATGCTCTAAGGTTGAGATACGGAGATTTTGGGATCCAATTCAACAAAGTGAAATATGTCATGTTCACACACCTGTCATTTACAGCAAGAAAGATTAGTTTTCTGAATCGGGACCAAATACTACATACGTGTAGTTGACCCAAATACTACATACATGTAGTAAATACGAACAGAACAGCAGGGTTAAACTTTATTCTACAAATGCTCTAGAGTTGAAATACGGAGATTTTGGATTCCAATTCAACAATTGAAATATGTCATGTTCGTCAAACCATTCCAGTTAAATACCAGTACTATGCCAGGTTGTATTATCCTGTGGGAAGTATTGCCATTTAGATAAATCATCACCATTACATAATATACTTGGCCAGCAAAGATGTTAAGGTATAATGTCTTATTTAAGTATCCATGCTTATGAAATAAACGGCTGAAATCATGCTGGAAAAATATTCCCCCAAACACATTGCCTGTTTGATGTTGTGTAGCAATGCATTTAGGTTCCATGTTTTTCCGCTGTTTTTACCAAACTCTTTAATTCGACCTTCTGCATGATGAAACTTAAAATGAAATTCTTTAGACCATATTACTTTTTTCTTATTGTGTGTCAACCAGCTGTTATGTATCTGAACTAATTATAGACATTTCAACTTGTTTGCTGCATTCAGCAATATTATTCACTTAGTCTTTGGTGTTCATAGTCCATATGATGCTGATTAGGGCAAACCACTTTGCTCAGAGATACTTGAGATTATTTAACATGTACTGCAGTTTGTTTTTTCTTCATAATTTGGAAGATTCTTCATTTTGCTGGGTTACTCACCATATGCTGAGGACTACAATTTATACATTCAGAGCCCAGTCTTTTCCTTTAAGTCTTGATATACTTTCATTGTAGTTCATGAGCATTTTACAATAAGTTTCATTAATACTCGCTGCAAGAATCCAAGCTTAAAACATGTATCGATGTTTTAAGTCAATGGAATCATGTCTCCCCCACATATATTCAGAAGTAATTCACTTATATTACCTAAGCTTTCTTTTTCAACTCCTACTATTGGTTCACTTTCTCCCTAATTTATATATATATATATATCTTGTTCAAATTTTCAGTTGTTAATAAAATACTTTCTATTCAGCCATTCAAGTCCAATACTTTTTTTAAAACTTAAAGTGGATGATACTTGATGTTAATAGAGTTTTTTCAAATATTAATTCATGAATTAAGTTAAAAAATGAATAACTAGTAACAAACAAAAATAATAGTCCAACAGCATATATAAAATGGAAAATTGTTCGTTGTGTCTCTGTAGTGCAATGGATAGTGCGTTGGATTTCTAGTCCAAAGGTTGTGGATTCGAATCCCACCTGGGATTGCCTAATTTCCGAGAATGTGATTTCTTTTTTACTATACTATTTTATTAGAATAATTAAATTTAATTAATGAATAAATAGTAAACACAAAAATAGTCCAACACCATACATAGAAAGGAAAATGGAAAATTGCAAGTAAAATCGCTTATTATTGTGATTCTGTCAATATGTATATACATATTTATATTATTTGTAACTATTTAATAAAAAGTAATATAAAATTTTTCTTTGTTGACCTCAGTAGAAATTGACTTAATTTTTTTATCTTGCTTGTTTTATATTAATTTAGCCCTCTAGTGACAACACGGTGAAGCAATAGCTCATTTGCATAAAACTTTTAAGTGATCATAATGAAGTGGCCACTCCATGATTTCTTTGATTACTTGGTTAGTATGTTGCTTCTTGTACAGAGTGATTTGTTTAATGGAATCTGAAATAATTTTACTCAAGACAGTAAATGGATCCCTGTATCTCAATGAATTTTAACTGGGAATATTTCTGTGTAAAACTGAAATTGATTTCAGTATATGAGAATATTATTTAGGTAGTTGTGAATGGCAGTCAGAATTTTGCAGTTGTTACGGTTTTTGTTTGTATTTTAAGGAATTACTTTAAGGTGCAAGACTCTTCCTTCAATTGTTGATTGCTATCTTGTACTATATTAAGTGGACAGATTTTTTGGAAGGAAGTGGTATCGAAGCATATCACATGTGCATGTGGTCTCAGTAAACTGTTTGATATAAAACACAATTTGTTAAAGTTGACTTCAGTTCTGATAATTGTGGTCTTGATATTGATGGGCTTTGTTGTTTTATACACACAACTGAATACATATTCATAAAATATGATAAATTTCTTTTTTTCAAATTTATATTCAAATGATTCAACTTCAGTTGTATCAGTTATTTTAGATTTTTTTTAGTTTCTTATAAAATTTGTGAATATGAATTTGCTTTTTAAAAAATTAATTCTGTTTATATTTATAGGAAATAATTGTCCAGTGCCAGATCGATTTTTCATGAATGCTAGAATGAGTAAGTTTTATTTTTTACTAACTTGTGAAATCATGTATTGTATTTGATTTGTAAATTATTTCTTGATGTATGCGTGAAGTTAGAAGTATATATGAGTTTTTTTGCTTAAGTGTTCCAGAACCTTGGAGGGAGTTATGAATAACCCTGTATTAAATATGTATTTTAAGCTCATGTGATTGATGATTGTGTATATATTAATATAAGAAATGCTCAGTTTTCAATTTCTGATTTAAATATTTTCTTTTCATGATTGCTTATAATCTTTTATAGTAATGAGACTGTTATTCCCTTGCCCTCATTTTATTTTGCTTGGTCATCAAAATTGAAGCATTTCAATGCTTTATCTAAATAATGGAAATTGACATAAATTGTGCTAACGAGTCATTTGATTTTTTTTAGATATGATGCTTAATCAGATGCCACTGAGAGGACCTTTGCCAAACCTCCCACCTGGTTTTAATCCATCAAATCTTAAGTAAGTTTTGATAGTAAATGAGTTTAGTTCTTTGAATAATTTTAGTTAATTTATGTAGTATGTTAATGTTTGCTGCACACATATTTATTGTTAAAAAAATTGGGTGATCTGCATTTCATTATGCAGTTTTTTAGTTTTAGGTGCTGATTTTTAATGCTATATTAAGACAATGCTTTAAGACAATTCAGTTAAGGTGTTTTATTATTATAATAAAACATCATTGCAATTTTTGTTAGTGTAATCAATTCAATTTTCAAAAAGTAACAGCTAAATTTCATTTAAGTTTTTAAATTTTTTCAGTTGCTCTATAAAGTAAATAGTATATTTTTCAACATTACATTACATTTAGATTTTATTTTTAGCCTTTTTTCTTTGGATTTCTGAATTGGTTCATTTAAAAACTGAGATGATGTATTTTTGAGAATTTTGTATAATTAAAGTTAAAAAAAGGGATTGCACAACTGGATTCTGGGTAACCAGTTGTGTAATCAGTGTGTTTGGAAAGCAACCAAATTTTGAAATGAAAATTTTATTTTCTTAGAAAAGAAAATTGTCCCCCCAGTTTTTGCTCATTGACAACCCTGTAAAGTAGCTTGTCACTAATATATTTATGCAAATAACTGTTTAGTGTGTACTAATTTGCTAGGATAAAAGATTACTGTTTATCAAGTGATTTGTTTCAAAATTCTTCATTTGCTAAGCTGTTTCCAATTGAGATTTATTTACAATATAAACCTCCAGAATTCTCAAATCCTTCCATCAGCCTTCATTTTTCTTTCACTGTAACTGTTTTGAAGCATCTCATGCAAATTTTATATTAATTCTGTTTCTGTTTAAATACTTGTCTTGTTCTTTTAGTGCTGTTTTTGTAACTTGAGAAGGGTGTGATATGAATTGTTAACATTTTGTATTTAATTTTTTTTAATCGTCCATTTTTCATTAAATGGTTTATTTTTAGAAAGTCTACACTTGGTTTTGCATTACTTACTGTTGGTTGTATAAACTGATTGATTTTTGTGTTTCTTGAAGTTGTTTTACTTGTTTAAGTAGAAAGAAAATCTAGTTTTGAACTAAGTTCATTCACTAGTTTATTTGTATATGACCCTGTTGTATGGTTATATTAAAAAAATTATCTAACTTCTTAATTTAATGATATATATTTTTTAAATGGACTGGGGGGGGGGAATACTCTAGTCCAGTTAATGGTGGACCAACCCCCATTGTACAAATTATGTAACTGTTCACGCTCATTTCTTAAATTGTAAACTGTAATTTACGTGTATTAAATATTTCTAATTTTTAGCTAATCTTTTTTTAAAATTTCTGTCTTTTGTACCCTTTTTTCATCCCCCTCGCAAAATTCGTTCTTAGCACTTTGTTTCAGTAAAATTTAACTTTTATGACCCATTTTTACTAACTATATCTTATGTATAAATTTTTTGCAATATCAGAAAAAACTTTTTTATATAGCGAGATATATTGTTTTTTTTTTGTTTTGTCCCTAATGTATTTAGTTGTTAAGCATTTAAAGGTTTTCCTTGTATTTTATCAGCACAAAGTTTTGTTTTTTGCAAATTTACAAATTATGGTTATCATTTCAAAATATTTAGTAATCTGATCTGTATAAAATCATGTATTTGAGTTAAAAATTATTTGATTTTAATATTGTATCAAATGTTTTTTTAAAAAAAATTAGTCATTAAATGTTGAAATAACACTTTGAATTAATTCAGATTTGGTAGTTCCTTTCCTTTTTAGTATAATTCATTCAGAATTTCACATATTATCAAGAGCAATGCTATCACCAGTTTGAAAATTATTTATATGCTTGTAATTTAATTACAGGTATTATAATTTAATTCTATAGTTACGTTTAAAACATCAACTGTATAGTTTTATGATATAAATACTTTTAAGTAAGCATTAGTATAGATTTTTCTTCTAATTCCTTCTCCAATTCATTATTTGATAAGTATTTAACATATTTTTTTTATGTTTTATATATGTCAAGTTTTGTTATTCATAATTTAACAAATTCACAACCTTTCAGAATATTTTTTAATAAAATTTCTTTTAGTAATCTGACATTTATTAAATTATTAATTTGAAATAAAAATAGTTTTGATTTTAAATACTTTTTCAGATGTTCTTCAATCCACTAAAGCGATTTTTTTTGTTAATCACATTAAATTTTGAAATAACATTTTGAATTTATGCAAATTTGTCATTAACTATAAAAGTGTTCTTTTCTTTTTAGTATGAATCATTCAAAACTTGCCACTATGCCACCAAGAAGCATAACTCACCCACTCTTGAACAAGTATGTTATTCCATTCTGAAGTTATTTCTTAAAATGTTACATTCCTTAAGATCTTTAGAATTTTGTTTGAATATTAGTTTTATGTAATACAATATTTTATCAAATCTTATTTTCGCTTGTCACTTCATTAAACCTTCAAGTGCCACTGGCATGTTTGTCTCCCTTAGCTAATGTATAAAGTGCCCCAGATGTATATATCCCCTTAGCTAATGCATAAAGTGCCCCAGATGTATATATCCGTCCTTCCAAAGTATGATGCTTTGCATTGTGTTTCTGTGTTTAAAACTTGTCCCACAGCTTTGGAATACTGAAATGAGATTGACAGTGTTTGCAAAGAATTTATTTCTGAGAAGAGGCGGGGAAGGAATTGGAAAGAGGAAAAAAACAAAATTCATAGTTAAGCAGTATTTGTTTTTCTATTTGAGTAGGCTGTGCGTTTATATTTCACTCTCATTCTGTATGTTTTTAATAACTGTATGATATGTCTTCCATTCATTCAAATTCATCATGTTGGCAAAAATTTTACCATAAACATTAGACTTTATCATATAATGAAAGAATGTTATTTTAAAGAATAAAACAATCATAAGTTAAGTCCACCTCTTCTATTTCTTAGATATGGAGTGAATTCAGCTATTAATATTTGTTTTTTAGACTATAAGTGCTATATTGAAAAATAACGTAATTCACTGACAGAAGTGGTCTTAGATTAACTTAATCATAAAATTAGGGCTTTTAATATGAACCTGATACAATAAACATTTGTTATTGTAAGAATTTAATAGCCATTGAAATCTGTAGACTGGCATTACATGCAGACTCACTAGTTCAAAAAATTATAAACGGAAATGAAAAATTTATTTTTAGTAGTCTAAGGTACTTAAAGTATTTGTCACATTATATTTTTGTAATATTTAATTTCATGGTCTAAAATGCAGAAGGTGTTTACATAATTTTAGAATTTTGATAAAGGAAAACTGCAAATATTAAAGGGGAAGTTCTGATCAGCAGTGTATTATTTGAAAATACAATCCAGCATATATAATCCACATTTTTAACACAAAAATAAGATCAAAATTTACAGGATAAATATAAATCTATATATGATCAGAGATCTACTATAAATATATAGATTTACATTTACAGTGGTATAAAAATGATCAATTTAAAAAT